AAGTGACGTCTAACTTCCGAACAAAGTGATGCCACAAAACACACTTTTTCCTTATCGTAGCCCCGTTCACAACAATCAGCCGTTGACAAGGTCAGCACTGTCTTGAAGTATTTATTGGCAGAGTTTCTTAGTGCGGTCCGACTCTCCTGCGTCGGTGGCACAGCGGTAGAATGCTTGCCAGCTAAGCAGGTGGTCCGGGTTTGATCCCCGGCCGACACACTCCTTTACCTTGCTATGTCAGTAAGAGGGCTGGCAAAGAGGGAAGGTTGGCTGTGCGGCTAGCAACCCCATCCAGTAAAACTAAACACTACCTCTAATGAAACTTCAAGCCTTTAGCTTGAAGCCCTATGTTCCACTGTGAATGTAAATGAAGAAAAAGAAAAAAGAAAGGTTCGACCCTTGGAATGACTTTTTCCAGATTTAAAGGCAGGTAACTCTGATAAATGTAAGAAAATATAAGAATTAGTTTCACTACTTCATGTTGACTGAATACTAGTCTCCCATGGCAAAATAGAATCCACCGCGTTATCGCACTACTCAAAATAATGGCCACAGAATTCTGCTAGAACTTATAGGCCAATAACATATTACAGGTTTTTATACAGATGACAGTATAGTGGAATGAATCTAATTGCAGACGCGTTAAAGCGATCACGTACTACTCTCTTTTGACGTTACTATCTTACAAAGTTAATTTTTGTAAGTGTCGTATAGTCTGAATGTTATGAGTTCATCTGTTTTAGAACGTAATGAGTTTTAATGTAATTCATGCAACTCATTATCCAGATTCATCCATTGTACAGGGACAGATTCCTATCCCGTACTTGTTAGCTCGCTCTAGAAGATTCGAAATGAGACATTTAATCCAATCACGAAACAGTTCCTACCAAACATCTGCTCAGGTACGATACCTCCAGTTAACTCCACCACTTATGAAACCATTACTATTAGCGTGATTGATAAGAGTCTAGCACTTTGCGGAAACTGTAAAAAGGATTTGAAATCCCACACCAGGCAGACGCAGACAGACATGGTAGCCAACAATATACCGACTAAAATGTAGCTGAGTTTATCGGCAGGATGCCTTGAGAGCGTCAGCAAGGCATGTCTGCAACCTTGAAGGGACTCATGTCCCTTCTGAGATTCGAACCTGCATCACCTAGTGCTGCCCGTATATCTCAGTGGTAACGTTCGTAACTGCGGCTGTGAGTGATGTGGATTTGAATTTTAGAAGGGGCATGATTTCCTTCGAGCCTGAAGTTACGCTTTGCTGACGAGTGCCAGCTATCACGAAACCTAGGTCCAAGTGTTCCTGCCGACTGCCTCCAACTATGCATTATCAACAACAACAACAATATACAGCTGAGCGTAATTTAAGAAGACAATGCTACTGTAAATTATTTGTAGCATTTTTACTTCGGATTTGTTTATGATATATAGTTATTTTCTAAAAATTCTGCAACAATTACTATGAGGAATCGCGCGGCTGTTCCTCTAAATATAATTCTATTTTTCAGAATATACTCAACAGCATACACATCCTAGAGAAAATATCAAAACGTATAAATCAAACTTATTTCAGTGTCAGAATAATATGTGGTTATACACGTCGTCGTCACGATCACTTGCGAAATGACATCGGTAAACAGATAAGTCGGATTTGTTTTTGTTTTCTGCCTTTATTCGATAAATTATTTGCCAAACAATTTAACCATAATTTAGGTTGCCTATACAACTTGTCATGCTAGCGTAGTAATCTTCCCCTGTTGGGATGAGAGGGTGGATGAAATGTCATCCTCTGAAGATATCTGTCCACATGTGTGTAATGTAACAAATATTTGAAACATATGGACAGATTAAACTTTGTGCACTGAAAAGCATATCAAATTATGCTTTAGGTGCGGGTAATAACATTAACAACTTTTTGCATTCAAAGATGATGATACTTTCTGACAGATCAGCCAAAATCCGCAGTACGTTAATCCTCGCCTAATCGTTTCAGTCACTTAAATGTTCTGCCTTTACTTTCACGTCAGTTAGAAAACTTGTGGGGTTATCACTGGGTGCAAAATACACTGATGAGATAATACTACCCATTACTTATTTTGAGATGTAATCTTTGGAAATTTCTTTATGATCACATATAAGGTGACTGTTAACCTTTTGGGTAACAACTATCTATGACGTCTTGGATCCTGATCTTTTATTTGTCTAATTATATTCATAGCAGTAGGCTAATCATGACTACTTCAGTTGCCCTAGGCAAAATACGCACTCTTCATTTGGAATGAGCAGTGGATTGAATGTCATTATTTCTGCATGCTTGCTAATGGAAACACTTAACTTCAATTATTTGGGCTTTTGTTGAGATTCAAACCTAATATCTGATATTTTGTTTGTTTATACTATCAAGTCTTGACAATAGTATAAGTTAAGTCAATGCTAACAGAGTAAGAACGATAGTACGACGAAAGTGACATTGAGAGGCATATCTCTAGATACACGTGATATCTAGCTTTTATTGTCTATAAAAGGAAGACTAATGTCTGTAAAAGTGCTCCTGTGCTTTTGATATTATGAAATAAAATATATTAAATAAACACCTTATAAAATAAAACTGATTTTGGTGTAGTTGTGTTCTCTGGGCTGGATGGTGCATTTGCAAAGCTTTCGTTGCCTTACTAGGCAGCATCTTTAGAACACACTTCAATTTGAAGTACTCCAAATACTTCCATCCAGCCCAGAGAACACAACTACACCAAAATCATCTACCTGAGTTACAAATCTTCTCCGTTATATCTAAGACGATTTAAAATTACGTTTCACCTTGCCAATATGAATCCCTCCATAGAATTCTAAATGTTAGAGTCCTGCTGGTGTGGCACAGAAATAGTTATTTTTTAGTAACGAAGAGACTGTAAAATATATTTAAGCTGAGAAATGCATTAGAAATAAGTGAAAAGAAGCTTAACTACTTAATCATCCCTTGTTTAGTCAATTTCCTGTGCCAGTTGAAGCAGAAACTGACTGACCCTTGCACTTCAGTAAATTTACTCATCGACGTGCTTGTCACAGTCAACAGAGGAATTATATTTTCTAGAATTATGTGATGATTTACCAACAGACACTAATAGCACACTGATATAACAAATTATATCACTTAGTTTTGTAGAAGAAAACCTAGGTGCTTAACCAAAAGGTTTATATTTATCTCCTAACAAGCGTACACACGAATTGATTTGATTGCTTCTATTGTATGGTAGTAAATGTGCTGTGTAATGTATTTTTCCAATGTTAAACTTACATTCACAGAAAAACCTTGTTTTCACAATAATTAACAAATGACTCTTCATCAGACATACAGTTTGTAAAACTGACTGAATGTGGGTCTTTATTGGAAACTTTGCTACTCATCAGGGTCAGTGACTTTCATAAAACAGCCTACATTTTTCAACATCACTCTAGAAATGAATTAGAACTCGTGGTATTAAGGGGAAAGATTGAGACTTAGGATTAAAATAGATGTAAGGGAGTGTTCAGAAAACCCACTGAAAGCACCAGTATTTGAAGCAGTAGAGGGATTATGTAGTTCATAAAACGGATGCCAAATTTACTACAAGTTATCAGTTAGGACTGATGGAGTTCGGATAACTGTTTGAGTTAACATTTAAGCATAAGTTTGTTTAAGTTCATTGAGCTGTGACCAATTGCCCTAGACACTCAATTTCAAACTACGAGTCATAGGTCGGCTCTGCCTCCCTTACCAAGGTTTGGGCAGTCGGGTATTATCACATGCCCACACAAAATTGATGTGGCCCATTGCTAATAACATGGAATTGCAAGCAGTTGTTGAGTTACCCGTATGTGAGTCTTTGTGAAAGCTAAACAAAAGATTTGGTAGCATTTAGGATGTTCAAAAGAATGCAATCTAAACAAAACACAGTTTTCAAACAACTAGTCTTTTTCTACTTATTATAATGATTTATTTTGGTATTAGGCAAGTTATAATCCGGTTGATTACAACTATAGTTGTAAAAGATTTTTCCTACTTCCAACAAAGTTGGTTACCTCTTCTAACATATTTTCTACGGACATATGGTTGAATAAAATAAATGACTTCCTATTTATCTTTGAAACAGTTGCTAAAAGACGTCACCCTTCTGTCTCTTTAAAACGTAACCATAAAACCTGTAGTATGCGCCTAAGGTGTCAGTGTACAAAGAAAGATGCAGTTCACATTCATCCACTGAGTTAGCTCTACTTTTCACTCTATCACAGTTAAGTACATCGCTTTCAAATTCTACCTTTATCTCACTGGCTATTTTTCCCAATAACCATTTTAGACGGGTAATTCTATCTAGAGTTGATGACATAAAGAAGACGTCAACTAGCACTTAATATTATGAGTCACATGTTATGAATTTAGACAACTTTCTCAATCAGAGTTTTCCAGGTGAATAATTTTAGTTAGTAACCATCTTGAAACAAAAACTGTGATAATGAGTACCGATCAAAGCCGTAAGCAAAGATTAAAACGTAATGTAACTTAGGCTGTACCAACAATAACCTCTTTGCATGCCTCAAATCCAATCTCGTCTACTAAACACGATACAAAAAGAAAGATACACTGAACTAATGTTGGTTCAGCACGAAATGCCTTTCGTTAGTTTTTGTAACACAGAAACAGTTGATTAATACGACTGGACGATTGCTGAACAACAGCCGAGTTAACAGCTACTAAAAAGGAAACATGCTGTCCATTACTCCTATTCGAAATCAAAACTCCGTGTTATATTTCCGGAAAATTATGAACAAAAGCAGTCGGTGTTTCCGAGACCGATTTACTATTCAAGCCATTAATCAAATCGGAAAATTAGTGAAATAAATCACATAAATAATAAAATAAACATGTATACAATACAGGTATGTACGACTATACAGAAATGTTTATTTTATGTTTATTTTAATATACAATGCTCATTAAATTTCACCTTGTAGAATCATGTACAAGAATACACTGACTTATGGATTTTTGGCCACCACGTTTGTTTGCATCGGACTAGACGTGTGGAATTTCGGATTCTTCTACAATTTTCACATACTGCCCCACTCATGTCAATCAATTTGGCACTGGTGTTTTCATAAGCGTTGGAGTTAGCTGAAGATGTCATATCCGAGCAGATGTGAGATGGGAACTGTTTTTTAATTGGGTTAAATATCTCATTTTGAAGTCCTTGATTTTGATGAACATATAGTGAACAGTGATCTGATTCTATAGATGAAATATGTTATACAAATAATGAGAAATAGTTAAAATAAGTTAATGATATCATTAACATGAGTACAGCATTTATGAAGATTTGTATATACTCCAAAGAAACTAATATGAAAGCACCTAATTCAGGGTGTTTATTACCAATTTAGAAACTATGTTTAGCTGTTCTTAAAATAATTACCAGTTAATGAATAATTATTAACACTAAATTCACCAGTGATATCGTAAAAATATATTTAGTTTGTGTTTGGTGTCCCAGCTGTGTACTATTTATGAGGAAGAATTACCTCTTAAGTGAAGGCAGTCATTGTCATGAGTTGATATCACTCAGTGGACTTTTAAAAACCAAGCATCACTAGATGTCTATTTGAGCTCAGTTTGTAATTCACGTGTAGTACGTGCCCATAGTCCCATCACAGATGGAGCCCAAGACCGGGTTACGAGGTGAAAACATTCTTACTCACCCACCCGACTGTAATTCAAAGATCCTTAAATTTTAACCTAAGTCATTTTGAGAGACACGAGTGAGTTTATTACTTGGTACTGTGGCAGTATTTCGATGCTTTAACCGCTTATATGGATTACTGGGTGTGGAAAACTACATAGTTTGCTACGTAAATCAGGTGATCACTTGCACCTGTATACAAGATTAGGAACCAAATAAACAAGTCCGGATTACTAATTGTTTTATGAATACATTACATGTGTGGATTTAAGAATATTTACAAATCAAGACAGTAAAAATAACTGTGTAACACTGCATAATTTCGTTTAGTAGGTGTTACACTACCGCCATTCCTCTTGGTCATTAAAAATATGATGTTTAATCTTTATCTAAAGTTCGTTATAGAAATTCGTCAATTTTTCTACTAACCATTTCATCCTATCGATTGTTTTATTTTTGTATTTACCGTTTCTGGTTTATGATGCTTGTGTTTTTTGCCTATTCTATTTCCATTTAACAGTTTTATTCGCACAACCTGCTACTATTGCTTTATTTCAGGCTTTTTCAGGTGAGGAAATGATTTGATATGTTATATTTCAATTCAGTGACAGATTTTGTTGTTGTATTGTATTCCTCTGTGAATGGATACTGGAAAACAAATAATCAGACGAATAATGTTGTTGTTTCACTTAGAAGAAATCATAACAATGGTTCTTTTTGTTACCACTGGACATAGATGTCTTAATTAAAGTTTATTCACATTCATTACATCTGGAAACAGCTAGATTTCAAATATAAACATATTTCAGTCAGTATTTCAGACAGTAATTTCATTGTAAAACCGTACGAGAACGAAATGTGTTGATTATCACAGTCTGCTGGTCATCACTACTGAAGGTATTATAAGCGAAACAGAACTGACAATACAGATTAAGTCTACTTCGACTAAAACCACAACAATCAAGAAAAAACAAGATTTAGACCAGTACTCTTCGGCGGTGAGCATGTACGATTTGGGAACAATCCAAGGAATGCCAAACATTTCGGGTAATCAGCTAAGGGATCCGACTTAATATGTTGAGAACATCATTCTGACTAAATATAAGTCCAGGCTTCTAGGTATGCAGCACGTATAAGAAATTTTCTGGTGTGATCACCAGCTGATATCATTTACAGAACCATTGGAAATTCACGGAGTACTGGACGACTGTTTAGTCCCAGTTTGCGACTCTCCAGCAACACGAGTCCTCCGGGAGTTGAACCCTGCTTTTCCAGAGGTTCTCTAACTGATCTCAGCTCGTGATCAAACCTATAACCAGTCAAATCTCTAAAAATCCATACTAGAAAATTTCAGGGTTCTGATGAGAAGTTCTAACTTGAATCAGCTGAAATAATTGTGAGGACTGTTACTTATGAATGACATTGAGTGTCAGAAAGTATTTCACTAATTAATAGGTGGAGTAAACCATGTTTCGTTTCGACAGATGAATCAAAACAACATTTTCCTAGTTGTCTGTAGTTGGGGGGCATGAGGGAATTTTCGTGGAGCTTTATTATGTTCCTATCTTTTTTTCCGTTTTATAAAACTATAAACTACCGTGTCTTTAGTTGTGTAAAGTCGTCATTAATCTGTGCTTTATTCTTGCCCAAATTGCACAAAAGGTCGATTATTATCCGACCATTTTTTATCCAATCTTCCTGTTTATTTTGTTATTATTACATTTTAATCCCTATTTGTAACCTTGTTAATTTGCCTCTCGAGTGGGGATAGTTTTGGAACTTTCTCATCCATTTGCTATTTATACACGAATGTACAGCACAGTGGATGACCTCATCGAAAAGATCATTTTCTGTTTTGCTACCGTTTTATTTTAATTTTTCGCGTATTCCGTAATACTTTCTGCCATAGAATTCCTATCTAGCGGCCACACATGATGTTAGGCAATAAAAACGGTTTATAGAACAAGTTTGAAAGTTGTCAAAGAAGTAGGGTTACTGATTTACAGCGAATCCTGAAGGTGTAAATTGAGTCTCAACCTAATATGACTACAAGCATTTATCAAACAAACTCCAGATCAAAAGTCAGTTTGATTTTCCCATGAAACATCAATGTGTTTTGATCTAATCATCTGACAGTGTGGTGTCACTCACCCAGCTTTTGATGCACTATTCTAAAATATAGATTTGAGCATTGCAGCGACTGTGTGCCATCTCAGATCAAATCTGTGCTTGTTTTTGTTGACTTCCAGTACTTGCATCTTTATTTCATGTTACTAACTTTCTCTGAGATGCCAGGGAACAGCTACAACAATAACTCTGAAATAAAGTGTAAAATGCAACAAACCTACTTTAAGACAACCTGTTTCGTTGAATTCAATTTCGTCTCACACTTGCATTATTGTACAAACTAGAGAACGCGTATTTGGCCACAGCACCACAAAGCCAGTAATCCAAAGACTCATTTACAGAACTTTAATAAAATGCTCAGGATAAGTCTGTTATCTTTCTGCTTAAATAGTTGAGAATCGCTCGCACTGATTGTGGATTCTTATTAAGCCAGTTCAATCTATGTAATGAATTAATGTTAAGCCTGTTTGATGATGAATCTATTGGCCATCTCAGCAGCTTACACGTCAACCTCCAATCTACAATTTCGGATTATATGTTACTATGGGCGAAAACCCTCAGATCACTGCTAGACTACTATAGGATGAGATATCTCATAATTATCTTCAGCCCATATAAACCTCTCTTTCACATCTCCATTGACAGCTTTCCAGACATCATGCGAATCAATGAAGTAAAAGTTTTTTCGTATACTTCATATTTGGAAGTAATGAAAGGCAAAGTTGGTGGAGACTCTTAACTTTATCATAATTGATTGTTACTCTATAGCTGATTACGTCCTTCAGGTAGGAATAAAATATTATTTAGATTTTCTGTGCAACTTACTTGTTCTGATAACTGTCCAACTCACTAACTTCGAATGTAATTGTTGTCCGAGTGATTCATCAATATTGCAAAATGAACTGCTACTGGACTGACTGGCAACCCCTGAATGCATAGCCTTCAACTCAGCAGCATTAATTCGACTGAAATTATCACTATATCCTTGAGCTAAATGATTACAGTCCACTTCATTCAGCATTTTTTGAAGTAGATGGATGTAGTTGATTGCCGCTCGCAGTATATCGACCTTTGAGATTGACAATTTTCGGAGATATGAGTGTGCTGGGTTATTATTTCTCTGTGACCATGCATTAGTCACTTCGTTCTCGTTCCGTATGACTATAGGATTCTGGTTGTTGTATACGACAGAATCCCATGTAGGGTTGGATAAGGCAGTTGAGTAGAATAACTCCTCAGGTAAGCGAGAACGTAGCCCATTGAAAGCCCGATTGATTAAGCGCATTCGTTTGCGTTCCCTCAGATTGGCAACCACACGTTTTTGAGGTAAATTTACAGGATGTAATGACAATACTGCTGTTGGTGGTGATAGCGATGGTGATGACGATAGGGATGCTGATGATGACAATTCAGTTGAAGTGGTTGGTAGTTGGTGTCTTGCATTCTGATATGAATACTTGAATATATTTCTATGATTGTCATAATAATCATCGTCAGTTGAGTGTTGTGTGTTGTGAAAATATGTATTAAGTAGATTGTTACCCGAGTAATTGTAATTATTCTCCCCGTTGTGTGAGTTGTTAAACATGACTGAATGATTCAGAATTTTATTTTGGTAATGAGTGTAGATGGAATGAATTCACTGTTTATATATGGAATTCACAGGGTATACACAATGAATGGAAATTTTTGTGATTATTTTGAAGTGATTTATATATATTTCCTTCCATGGGCTTTATTGAAGGATGGGTGGACAGAATTTTTAATCAGATCGCCATTCTCTTTTATGAGTCACTGAATTTCATCCCCAATTAGTTAATTCCTTTTCTCTGATTGGTTGGACAGGTTGTGCCAATCGCTAACTGAATTATTTATTATGAGTTAACGTTAGAAATTCCTACCACTGCGATTGGTTCATTTCACAAATTAGATTTTGACTGCTTATAGAGGGATGAACTTCCCTCCAACTTAAGAAGATCAAAATGGCAGTGATTGTTATCTTATTCCTTCCCTTTAATGATAGAACTGTTGTAAGGTGGAAATTAAATACAGTCCTAAACAGTATCACTATATAAATCCATAAATATTCATACTGATCGTAAACTTCCAGCCAATGTTCAATGTAAGTTTTACACAATAAATTTTTCCGTAAATTTTCAAGCGTAATTGAACAAAAATGACTCCACTTGAATAATTGAACATGGAAATAGTTTTATGAAACGATATACACTACAAAACACTTTTCTGTGAAGATTTTTTAACGTGATCTCTTAGCCTGAAATTTAACCTACTAAAATCCTTGATGAAAACAGTGGGATTTTCATTAAAGTGGCTTTCACCTCTTAGAAATATTTAGTAGCATAAAGGGGAACCAGTTAACATTTCAAAGAAACTGTAAATTCATTGCAAAGTTATTGTAAATTTCCAAGCAATCAAACAAGAAGCTTACTGACAAGTTTTTTATTACTACAGTTTTCTAAAGTCTATGTTTTCATGAATCAAAACAGGAATCTCTGTAGTGTTTTGTGAATAAACCATCTTTTTTTCAGAAGTGCGGATAAGCTTTTGTAAACCTATTTTATCATTACAATATGTACAAGTGAACAACACTGTTTCCAGTTAGATTTTCTTCGGGGCTTTTTTCTAATTTGAATATCTTTAAATGTCTTATTGTAACCAAGGTGGCTAGTTGAACTCCCATAGTCTTTAAACAAGATGGGCTTTAAATCTTAGTTTACAGGATGTTTTCAAACTTATTTCCAGTTTAGATGTAGTAAATGTGAACGTGTTTCATCATTATTCATTGATTAGCCACCGGTATAAACACTGGGATTCGTTTTCCAACAGATATTGAAGAAGCAGATGCATTTTGAGACTTAAGTAAAAATACTTAGGTAACCAGTTAGCTGCCACCTCATAAATACATGATAAGCAGCATTAGACGTGTCTCAGACTGGGTAACTGAAAAGACTAAAATTTAGATTGGATGTAACAATCCAGTGGTAGCAGGCCGGATTCAGGAAAAGAAGTACTGTCTGAAACGAATCGCACCGCAATGCATCGTCGAGAAGAGTACCGAATGGTCGCTAACTCTACTTTAACTTCAACTTTGAAAATACCTTCGGTAGCATCGACTAAAAAGTAATTTGGAAACTGCTTCAGAAATACATAGTGGAGTCCTAAAACATTTTTTAAACCGTGTACAACATCTACGTGATGATGACGCCTTATGGCAACCAATTCACGACAGGAAGGTCCCCAGAATGTCTGAAATGTAAACAGGATTAAGACAGGATTGCATACTATCACATATTATATTCATGGTTGTAGTGGACTTGGTCATGCTGCACATCATAAGATGAGAATAAGAAGGTGGATTTATATTGGGTCAATAAAAAGACACTGGGAGACCTAGGTAAAACAGATGCTTTATGCATTGTCGCACAAATTCGAAGAAAAACAAGTGAAAACAAGTAAGTCAACAAAAGATGTAGTGAAGAGAGAACTTGAAGGTAAGGTGATGAAGATACTCAACCAACAATAAAAAGTAGCAGTCACCATCAGTAGGAGGAATCTAAAGGAAATAGTTTGCTTCTTTTACTTACCTAAATAACATATCTGAAAACATCAGAGCCATCCAGGAGTAGGTTGGATCTGATCGGGAAAGTAGGACAGACTTGCATTACTCTGAAAGTGTTGTTGAGAACTGCAGTATTCAACACAAAGGACTAAGTCCGGATTTTCAGCACTAATGCCAAGTCCGGTGATGCTTCTTTATGGTTGAGAGACATTGTGTGAACATCACTAAACTTTCATCAACACCTGCCTTTGCTCAGTATGAAAAATCAGATGGCCAGCTAGGAAAGATGAGCAACAGGGAACTCTGGTAGGCAACGAACCAGACATCAACTTATTGTTCAACTAATATTCAGAAAGAAGTGGAGATGGATGGATTTTACATACATTGAAGTGACAGCTGAGTAACATTACAAATCATTCTGTCTGGTGAAACCCACATGGGAATGAACCAGTTGGCAGTCCAACAGTAACGTGGAGAAAATTAGCCAGGGATGGAAATAAAGGCTTTTGAATCGTCATGAAGTCATTCATCCCACTCCAAACTTAAGGAATAAATAATAGTAATAATAAAACTTGGTGAACAGGGAGTTTTGTTCACCGTGCAGGATATTCCTTTTGCTGCAGTTCCTCTAGATCGATTATCAGCTGTTCTTCGGCTTTTTCTTTTGAGTAAAATAAAGACAAATTACATTTTCTAGATGTTCTCCTGAGCACATGAATCACTCAGGGGAAACAGTACGTCTAAAGAATAATATATACATTGACTTTATTCTGTATTTGTCCTCTAGAAAAACAGTTTGGTAAGATGCCTCACAAATAGAGCAAGAAGTATCTACCTTCTTACGTTATATTCATAATACGATAATCAAATTTGGCTATCCTGATGGATTTATCAGGAGATAATGTATACAGTGTAGTGAAACCAATAACAGTTGAAAGGAAACGACTACTCATGAATCTCCAATGCAATGGAGACGTGACCTGTGTCTACAGACACGCACCGTTTACTGATTTCCAGCTAACGTACCGTCGCTTCCCAGGTGAAAGGTAAGTTGCCTAGAATTTTATACTGCTAATTTCGTCTTCCTTTCTTTATCGAAATTTATCAAGGGAACCAGTTGTATGAAGTTCTTGAAAAGACGTCTCCCTGCCCCAACTATTAAGTCACTGAATCAAGTGGTGACCGTACGATGCAGAATATCTAGAGAATCAACAAAGATCAGGTTCTATGAACAGTGTTTGCAATCAGGTTGTTTTCCACGGCAGTTCCTGAAACAAGTGCGATCGGCTAAACTCCCACCTTCTCATAAGAATCTCCGTCGAATAACAAAATCTCACATTGAATCCTCATAAAAGTACCTCTCCGAATTGAAATCTCGTCTGGCTACCTATGATACCGTACTGAGCGAGCTTAATATTATTTTCTGGCTTAAATTCATGAATTTTATCAAAGAGCTACAATCAAAAACATCCGAGGATTATGAAACTGAGCTGACAAAAGCGTTGGTGAAAGAGAAGCTAGTTGAAGAGTTCCCAGAAGCACCTGAACGCTACGTCTGTAATCTATCAAAATTACAATTAAACAAAATCGAATTAGAAGCCTTATCTCTAGGATTCAAGTTTCACGTCCCCAAGAAGTAGATCAGTCGTATAGACACAGAAGCACAATTCGAACTCTACGACCTGAAACCCTTAGACGAAGATAAAAGAGGATGGCTAAAGTCTAAACTTGTTGATATTGCTAACCAATAGCATATATTGCTAATGGAGAAGCAGAAGATGCTGACCGAAGAGCATAGAATAGCTCTGAAGAAACTATATGAGAACGATGAAATCGTCATATTTAGACCTGATAAAGGCTCTGGGGTTGTTATAACGAACAAAGCTGATTATATTCATAAAATGATGACAATTCTAAGCGACAAAGAAAAATTCCAAGTAGATAACAAAAAGGATGCCACAACGTCGTTTGAAAATAAAGTAAATAAATGTCTCAAAGAACTTCTAATGAAGAAACTAATCAACTGCGAAACATACAATAAACTGAAGTCAAAAGATGGACGCCTGCCGTCTATGTACGGCCTACCAAAAATCCCTAAAGCGAATGTGTCTTTAAGACCAATCTTGTCAATGACTGACTCACCATGCCACAAGTTAGCTCGATGGTTAGCTGAGTCTATAGAGCCAATTCGAATTAAATTTGCTACCCATAGCCTGAAGGACAGCTATCAATTTTCCAAGGAAGTTGACAATATTGACATATCAGACAAACTCATGGTATCGTATGACGTGACCTCCTTGTTTACAAACGTACCACTGATAGAAACGATTGATATCATTTGTAAACAAACAGATCTACTACCATTACCGGAAACAGAGATGAAGCGACTACTGCTGCTCTGCACAAGAGATATACAATTCATATTCAACAATCAACTCTACCAACAAATTGATGGGGTCGCGATGGATTCACCTCTGGGACCTGTCCTGGCTGATATCTTCATGAGCTACCTTGAACAGACACAACTAAGTTCTGGTATCAATGGAACAACCTACTATCGCCGATGGGTTGATGACACATTTGTTGTTTGCAATGACATGGATCACGCATCGGCATTATATGATCGCCTAAATGAGATTCATCCAAATATCAATTTCACCATGGAATATGAACATAAAAATGAGTTCAATTTCCTCGATGTAAATGTAAAAAGAACAAACGAAGGCATGATTGAAAAGTCCATCTATAGAAAAGAAACCTGGACTGGACAATATCTTCACTATAACAGCTTTTGTTCCATAAGCTGTAAACGTGGATTAGTGAGGACTTTGTACGACAGAGCCAGGAAGCTATGTTCACCAAAGAAGGTCGAAGAAGAACTAGATTTCGTCGAGGAATGCCTGAGGGAAAATGGATACCCTAAGGGGTTTATACAGAAATATAGCAGAGAAAAAAATAAGGGGGAAAAGCATCCAAGTGTGGACAAGAAAAAAGTGTTTATTTGTCTCCCATTCAAAGGAGATGAAGTATCACAAAAGATTGACAGAAGACTGAAAGGAGCAATAAATAGAAGCTTCCCGGCAGCAAAACAC